CCCCCCCCAGCTAAGTAACCACTGGTCAAATGCTTTTTACACGAAGTGGCTCGTAAGCTGTATGAACAACCTACAGACGATATGTCAGTCCTTCCCAGGATGCATCACATTTCCAAATGATCGTTATAAGGGTTCAGCACTCAATTGGACCTTTCGATAGAGACAATACAATTTCTGTCTCTAGCTACATTCACCCTTTAAAGAAGAAGAATAATATAATTAGTTTTATAATACACAGCTATGTTGTCCAGAATGTGTCCAAAATTGAGAAGTTTTGTTTTCGTTTGGTTTGTTTGCTATTTATGATAATTTTCCATTTACACGATGAGGAAGTGTGTAAGACATGTTTATTTTGCTACATGCGCATGGATACCTCTCCTCCTTTCTCCCGCAGTTCCTGAAACTTTTGTAGAGAGGTCAAATTCTTCACAATAGATAAAAGGTCTGAATGAAAAAAAAGTACCATGATCAAATGAAGAAAATTTCTACTGGCAGGTAGACTATTCATTCTCTAAATGGCTGAGAAAATTAAGTTTGTCACAGTAACCGTTAATAATTACGGCAATTTTAGTTATTTTGCTTTTACAAAGTACTGTTCTTTGTTTAAGGCAATAAGTGAGTTTTGCATTTCACAGTTGTAAAGTCAGCTCACCTGAATCAAGCGCTGGTTTAAAGAAAAGCCTTTGTCCGTGTACATTCAAGCGATGAAAAAGGTAGAACATCTGGTACAAACAGAAGATCTAAGGTTACCAAAAGAGGCACAATTCTCCAAACATTTTGTGAGACTTAATTAATGGTAACTTTTTAACATCAGTTAACAATAGTCGACGTCAAGGTCTTCATTGGGTTCTATAACCTTGCAAAATCGGGGGAGGTTTCCTCGCAAATCTTAATAATTCCAGAAGCAATGTAAAAACAGTAAGAAAGGTAATAAGGAGCTCTTCAATCGAGAGTTGTGACACAAAAACCAGAGTAATCACAACTAGTAACGAGCACAATAGAATTCGTTTTCATTAGAACAGGTATTACGGGAAAGTCAATTTAAAGACATATACACTGCTGCCTTAAGCGCGGCAAAAGAAGGCTGACCAGGTCGCAGTCTGATAGGTTAATTTCTAAACCAATTACTTGCAAAAGGAAGGCAAAACCAATAAATCTCAGTTCACTTTTGACCCTCATTTGAAAACGGAAGGGTCTAAGTTTTCAATAACTTGAGTAACAACTGTATTACCTTTTGTAGCATGACTGAAGACAGATAGCCAGTAGATTCTACAATAAAACAGTGAGTGATTAATGAAGAGAAAGCTATCATTGAGAACAGAAAATGAGCCTCCTAACTATGAAAATGAAGTAAGAATGAAAATTTTAGGAAAATACTTAAAAAAAAGTTAATAGCGTCGCTCAAAACAAAATGTTATCAAGTTTGTTAGTTTTTTCTCTAATTTTTTAGGGGGAGAGGAAATGGGGAATCAGTCCTTTCACACTCAGAAGTACTACGAATTTATATCTAGATCGAAGGAGCAAAAGGATTAAAGGGAACCTTTCCTGACTCGAAACCTTCGTACAAAGTTGCCCCTTCCCTGAATTAACAATTCCTGGAAATAAAAGGTGATTCGTGCATCTTGAAAACATTTAGCCTAAATTTCGTGAATTTTTCGGATCGTTAAACATCCTCGTCCGCATGCTATATTGTTTCCCTCCTTTGTTCTCTATTGCCCAATTTTTTTTAAAACTTACATCCGTACCAAAAAGAACTTAGACAACTGCTGCTCCTTCGAAAACGATTGCGAGGAAATCCCTTGTAATCTCAATCAGAGAATGAACAACCTACCTCCAGTGTTGGCGTCTATCTCTGCCGTATTTGAGGTGAACACTTTTAAGGCATGCTGCACATAAGAGCATGAAAACCTATTCAATAAAATACAACATAATTTTTGAGATGGTACGTTTTTGTTTTGCCATCCGTCTTCAAAAAGAGTAGTTCATGATAAAAATCGTGTTTCTCCCGATATGAGATTTAAAATTGAGATTTCTTAAGTGCCCTGAAGCGCCAAGCGCCAGAGCCGTGGAAACGAGTGGTAAAACCGCGAGAGGTTTGGGACGGTTTTTCCCACTTGCAGCTTAGCCTCTCACCGCTTTTAAAGCGTTCACGAGCCGGTAGCAACGCAGCTCCATGCTTCGAACCCTAATAGCGATTTCCACAGACAGAAGACCTTTTCGGGGATACTCTCCGATCAGACTGTACCATAGACAGTTTGTTACTTGGTATAACATGTTTAAACCGAAGCAAGAAGCTTATATTCCCTGTACCTCAGATAAAAGTACATCCAGCGCCTTGAACAGATAGGAATATGCTCACAAAGCGAATTGAGAAAGGAACAAATCTAAAGAACAAAAGAAAAAAGATGAAAGGATGGTTTTTTATGGAAGACATTTTTTGAAATTTTACAACAAAAACGAATCAAATTTAAGTCACTCATAAAAAAAGTTAAAAATAACGAAACTTCATACTTGTTACACCTCAAATTTGGGGGCACCTCTACGTATAAAACACAAACTGCCATTCCAACTTTTATTTATTAGTCACTTTTATTTTCCTTCCAACCCCTAGGGTGCCTTTTAAACGGATGTTCGATTCTATTATTTTTTACACAGTGGAAATGGAAAGGAATCAGTAACAGTTTTGATACAAAACTGCGCACAACGTATTTCAAGTAAGAAAGAGATTTTCCGTAATAAAGTAGCCAATACTAATAACAAAGAGTTTTAAGGCTGCAGCAAAAAGAGCGATATACATTTTCTTACAGTTGTGATCTCGGATGCGTTCCTTCCTGAACGATGTGTAACTCCTTGGAGAAGAACTGGAAGTAGAGTCTTTTGATTTGCACACAAATAACACAGAAACACAGCCAAACCGCGAGTTTCTTCATTCGTTACCGACGAACCCTGTGATGGAACATCATGCAAACCACGGAAATGACGTTTTAATCAAAGAAGATTATACATGTCCAGGAAGACAATGAAGTTATTGGAGCGCATATGGAATGAATGACGTAAAACTAAAATCAACGTATTAAAAACTGATGATCAAAGAAAAGAGAAAGAGAAATTTCCGCGAAAGTCAAGGGAAGTCAAAGCAAAAACAGGCAAAAGTGTGAAGCGCGGGAAAACGCGGGTGACCAAGACGCGATCAGTTCTATCATGCATTTAATTGGTCGAGAATAGACCAATCACAGAGAGAAGTAAAGCAAAGACTAAGTAATTTCAAATCAGTAAAGTCGCCAGTATTTAAATTTAGGTAACATTTGCGTCGTTCACTGCCATATGCAACTTGTATGCAAAAAAGAAACAAGAATAAAATTTCGTTGCAGTTTTGTTTAATTTTGATAGTCAACACTTTCTGTTTGAATGAAAGATTTTTTCTGCACCATACCTAAACATAAACAGGAAATTCCGAACAGACGTTGAACCTTCAAAAGCGCCACCGCTTAGTTACTCTTCACGATTGGGGATTTACTGAATTATTTACAGTGTAATAACCAGAAGTATATATTGACCAACCTCGTAACAACATTTCCTCCATAATTGACAATATAAGTTTTTGTGAAGCGGTGTTATTGATGAAAACATTGCTACAAATTGAGAAGCCCAATAATACCTGTTTATACAATAAAGACAACGTGTCATTTACTTTCAAGGGTACGACGAGAACATCAAATCACAAAAGATTATGGCGTGTTATTAGAGCAGCATTATATCACACACCGGTCTCACTATATGGGTCACAGTCCTCAATTAGTTCTCTTAAATCTACGCTTGAATCTGCGAGCTAGTGATTTATGTTCACCGAAATGGGGAAACGGGGAAGGTTTTGAATTAGAGTCACAGGGATAAGAAGTAATCCGTATATTGTGCTTTTCAAATGAACGTTATGGAACAAACATCACAGTAATTACCACAGCCAACACCAACAAATGACACGATTATAAAAAAAAAACAAAAAAACAAAACAAAACAGACAAACAATAATGAAAGCTTAAAGAAAACACCTCGAGCACGGGAAAACGCGGATTATTAAGGTGTTGCATCTGATTGACCGTGAAGTCGGCGCGAGTCTGGACCAATCACAGAGCACGGGGAAGAAAAATAAATGCTATCGCAGATAAGTGTAAACGCTCAATCGAAAAGTTCTGTGTTACAGAGCTTCGCTCGCCCAGTTTCAGAGGGCACTGTGAGGTTTACCTCTTTAAAAGATCCAACGATTCCGATGCGTGACTGCTTACAGCATCGCATGTTTGACAAAATGCATCCAGCAAAGTATTAACAACCTTTAAAGCAAAACATAGATATAAAAAAAGAACAACTCTTTGACCCATGCACTGGTGGAAATTATGTTTTCCATGCACGGTGACTAAATCACTTATTTCACAAGTTTAATCCTTTTTTTCCAAAGATTTCATAAGTAGTTCTGTTCTACTTTTTGTCTGGCACACAATCCTTACAATGTTAATTTAGAGAATTTGGTATTAGGTCAACAAATAATCCCCTAATTTATAAATTTGTTCATTCAAAGTACTTATATACTTGATATTGTAAAGAGAAATTCTGTCTTGGTCACTCATGGTAGTTACAGGGTTAAATAAGCGTTTACATTATTGATAACATCATTGTATTGTAATAACAATTTACCAACCGGGTCAGTGCAAGTTGCTTCCATTTCGCTGACATCTAGTTCTACAAGCTGATTGGGTGACTGAGTTTCTTTGTTCATCTTTATCATTGAGTGTATAGTTCCAGAGATAATTGACAACTGAGATGATATTCTCCCTGCAAAAACAAACAAAGTGCGAATAGTGCCATAAGACCATTGGACTGAATAAAATAGCTTTCAAAAGCCAAGAACAAGAAACCTTTAAAGGTGAATACTTCAAAACATGAACCTCATCATATGATATGTAAGTTTTGATAAATATAGCTCCCACAAAATCGCGATATAAACGTGTACATTATGCTACAGTGGAATCACCTGAGTGTCTGGAAACATCGGTTCCTTTCAATGACTCAGTGACGAGCTTAGTAAATTTCTCTACAGATTTTACAAGTTTTTCCATGCCACTCAAAGTCCCTTCGTCTTCTGAAGAACTCACTAAAAAAAACATACACACACAAATAAAATCAGAAAAGTACAAAAATCATCAAAAGGTTGCAAAAGTTATTGGGTGTTGGCCACTCACATGGCCTTGTTAAAGTTGATTCGAGAGAGTTGCGAGCAATGCAACTGACAACTGCATACGAGACAAACCAAAGGGAAAACTGATACTAAGTAAAAAAAGATGGTGGAGACTAGGGACAGACTAGCTTGAACACCACGCGTGCAAACGGAAGGAACCAGGAGTCTGTTCAGGAACTTTATTTCACTCCCTGAGACTCTGTCTCACTTCTACTGCTTCAGCTCTTAGTACACGCTCTTAAATTATTTATTGGTGGGCATTTTTGGGCTTACAGAACAACTGACCTTGGCAGAGCTTACATGAAGTAAGGATGAATAAGTCTAGAAAGATCTAACGGAGAATGACATAGTTGAAACATTTCGACCTGGAACTATAATTCCCACCCTAATCACTGCTTGAAAATAATTATATCTGAACAACAAAGAGGTAAGAGAACAGTGGTACCCGGCTCACTTTCGGCCCATCCCTTTTCAGGCGACACCTCGATTCAAGGGAGACAAACATTGGTTCTGCCTTAAAAAAAAAAATTATCCCACCATTTCTCTATCCATTACACAGATTAACATGGATTACTTATGCAGATGATAATATCGTTATGGCGAAGATACAGAAATCGTGAGGTTGTTCTATTGAATCGTTGAAACTGTTTGAAGACAAATGTGAGACTTTCGAGACAATGAACAGTACTTTTGCTTACAAATTAACTCCTCCGAACGCCCCCCCCCCTCCCTAAGAGAACGCTTGTTGCGAGCAGAATAATGTATTAATGAGCCTCAAACCTTCATTCTGTTCAATGATGATCTTCTCACAGGCCGACTGATATGCACTCAGCATACTCTTTGGAATTTTACCGGCTCTAATTAAAAAAAAAAGCGCAAGTAATTACTTCACTCATAGCTGTAGGCATCTACCTAAAGATTACTGAAATGAAACAAACGATCTCAATAACAATAACTGCGAGAACAGAAAAAAAGAAGAAAAGAAACATTTCTGCTTTGGAGGTGTTAATAGGAATGCTTACGTGCTTAATACATCGATGAACTGAGCTCTTCCATCAGGCTCCTCGGGAACCTAAGAGTTACCAAAAAAAAAAAAGGTTAGCTGTTGCTGATCTGTACAATGAACCTTTCGTCCATAGAATGGGGATGTAAGCTTTTGCCATCCGAGTTCAACAAAACGCCCTACGTCTCGTCGCAGAGACCAATATTTTTGTCTCTTATCTAACAACCCTCAGAAATGGATTTAACATATCTCTCACAGAGACTTTTCCAGCTCGTGGTTGTTTTGTACATTTTATAATGACCACACTGGTTTCCTTGAAAGGTGAGTACTATCTGAAATTGGTTTAAAGAAAGTTTTGCAAAGCTTTTGTCATGAGTAAGAAAAAAGACTAATTCTAATGATGACTTCCACTCAGTTTGTCGAGACAACTATCACTGTCAACGATAACAGTCCCTATCAGAACTGAACAAGCTCAAACAATTACAATTCATTCTCGGCTGTCATTCCTGGTTCAAACGATAACTAAATCGCAAAAGTTGTAGAATCGCCTGCTGATGGCACATTTACTGCCTGAAAAAGTGCTGCTTTGGGCACAATGTTAAAAACTAATAGGGACTAACAGCTAGACGATGGCTTTCATTTGAATTTCAGACATCAACTAAGCAGCTCTAATGCTTTGAAGCTGCATGACCCAGTCAAGTTTGTCTTTCTATTTTCCTTACCATTTGCAAATAAATATTTATGCTTTACAAACCTTTCTTGGAGTTAGCAATGCCGGCAAAAATCTTCCAATGAAATAAGGTTTCCTAAAAATGCTGAGTAGACAAAAACAATTTCTCCTGATAGTTAGGAAGTTACCATAGTTTGTGATTTAATGCAGCACGCACATGCATTACCTCCTTGAGAATGCTCTTTTAAATTTAATTTTTTTGGACTTTCCTGGTTTGCACACCTAAAAAAAAATTTGGTATGAGTTCTTCAAGATCGTCATTTGCAATTCGTTCTTCGTTCTTCGTCCTTGGCCATCTTGGCTAATGCCTCTTTTGCGATTTTCCATCAACCGAAACTACTATTTTGCATAAAGGAGGTAAGTGTCTAAAGAAACTGTGGCGCTGCGTCGGTGGGAGAGTTTAACAGGGTAATTTGGTATCATCAACCGAGTTGATAACGTAAACTGGCCACAGTTAAGAGTTTCCAAGTTGACGTTTCGAGCGTTAGCCCTTCGTCAGAGCGAATATTTTGCAGTCTCCTTTAAATTCTAATTAGTTTCACGAGCCGTAAACAAAGGTCACACACAATGTTGAGAAGCTTTTTCAGACAGAATCAAAACGTTACCTTGCCTCCATAACAGTGCTCGGGACTTTCCCAGACTTCTCAAATGATTCGATAACTTTTTCAACATCTGAGGAGGCTTGTTCAAGTTGCTGTAGAAAGACGTATAATGTTTTAATCTTTTAAAAACTACCTTACCCTCTGTAAAGTCATTACAATTAAAATCTTCCACTCTCCCAAACTGGTTAATAATCCCAACAGCTCCGCACTTAAGTTTTATTTCCCTTTTTTGCGGCCTTTTTATGTAGTTTAATTTGCAGCCACTATAGATGTTGGTCTCGTCACGTGACTCAGGTAGAGTCGGACTCCGTAATTCGACTAAACAACGGCTTTAGTTAAAGACGATGTCGTTAGTCAGTGACTCAGGCTCACGCGGAAGTTGAAGAGATTTCAAACGCTCCCAACCGGAGTCAAAAAAGCAGAGTAATGGCCACGTTCCAATAGATACTTTACATACTTTAACACTACGCTATAAGAGATGGGTGGTTGCCTTACTATTGAATAAGATTCTTGTAAAAAAAATCCTACATACTGCAAGCAGTGATAGAAATGCACAAGAAGATTGTCATTATTATCATAACTATTATCATTGTCGTTATTATCATTTTAACCTTGGTATGTTCACTTTTCGCATCTGTTCCTGATGTTTCTTTACTATTCCCATATATTCCCATCAGTTCTACCGGCTCCTGTCAAAAGAAACCAGTTTACAATAACGTGAAAAGATATACCAGAGAACCTGACATTTCAATTACCTTTGGATTCTTTGCAAACATGTTTCAAAATTGTCATTGCCTATAATCTGTACCTTTAAGTCCATGAGTCTGGTCTTGGCCAAAGACACATAATCAGTGACAAGTTCACGCAACTTGGCCGGTACTTGAGGAGCTTTGATGACGTGAACCTGAAATTATCAATATGCGAAATGAACAAATTATAATTCAAAAGGAGTCTTGGAGAGTTTCTTTGTCTCAGAAATAGTGCAACCGCCAAAATCAACTGGACAATGCGCTCATAAAAATACAACAACTGCTCAGAACTCCTCTAAGAAAAAATGAACTAGGAAACCCGAAGGCTGCCACTCAAGGACTGAGTAATTCTTTGTTACTTTTAAAAATAAGACAGCAATGATTGCAACCAATTTACTAAACTGATTAATGAACTTTCTACGAATGGCTAGCTCCAAATAGCCAGCTCCAAGGCTAGAATGATTGTAATTTGTAGTACTCAACCTACCTGTACATGTACGAATGCCAACCTTTCCCTTTTCCAGTAGTTTGCATTAAATGCTCTACCAAATAAATATCACTCACGTTCCTGATTATTACCTTTAAATATTCTGGGGGCTCATTTGGTACAAGATCAGACAAGAACTTCACAAATAGCTGCACAGTTTTTCTGTTGTTTAATTTTGGGTTTCCTTGATCTCCAAATGTACTCTACAATCATGGGAAAAAAAAATTAGCCAGAAATATTTTAAAAAAACTTAGTACTTGTGCCATACAAAGAACCTAATTTGGCAAAAAACAGACTATGTAAATAATATCCTGTTAAAGCCATAGGATAACTCTATGGAATAATGATTTAGAGCTTGATAACTGTCACAAAAAATGAGCTTAACATACCCTCCACTGCATAAGACATATTTTACTATTAAATGTCTTCCCATACTCATGATAATTATGTAATTTAGTGTTATCAACTCAGTTGATAATACCAAATTACCCTGTTATACTCTCCACTGATACAGCACCACAGTTTCTTTAGAAACTTACCTCCTACATTTATGATAATTATGATGAAATAGCTGCATTACACATATTTAACACTCACTTGAAACCAAGAGACATAAGGTTGACAGACATGGCCTCCTTGCTGTGTAACCTGCCTAATCACCAGGAACGCAATGCTCAGTGTAGAGCTGTTGCTGTTATTCAGTGCATCATTCACCAAATCACAGACATAACCTGGAGGAACAGTTCAAAAGCAATTTTTAATAATAGGTACCACTGTTGGTCATTATGTTGTAGCAATTATTGGATCTGTTGTAGCAATTATTGGATCTGTTGTAGCAATTATTGGATTTGAATAAATGAATCAAACATCATTACACCTTCCAGCATGCCTGCAGCCTCCTTCACAAGGACCACAAACACCGACAAAAATGCAAGGATTCCTTCCACATTAACCTTAAATGGATGGCAAAGAAAAATTAATTTTATAATGTTGATATGGAGTTCATTGAAAAATATTTGTTAATTGGCAAAAACACATCTTTGCTAAGTAATGCTGACTCAATTCTGACAGTTAAGTCACTCACATACCTTTTCCTTAAAGAAAGTATTCTTTAGTGACTCCATCACAGACATTGGATCAAAGACTAAAAGAAACTAATGGTAACAGCAAACATTTATGTAATGGATGACTATAAAAAACAAATGCTAACATCTATTAGTCTCTTGATGCAATGTTTCTCTGAGTCAAGTATTTTCTTGCCTTTTTGGTTTGTCAAAACCTTTGCTAGTCCTCATTTTCAAGGCTTTTGACTCTCATTTCATTTTTGCAAAGTTTATGAAAACATGATGATGCAAATTAGTAAAGTGGCTATTTGTGCAGTTGTCAGGTGAAATAAAGTTAAAGGCTTACTTGTTCAAACACTCTTCTTGTTGCTTCACCCAATGATGAGAACTTCAATTCTTTTTGGTTACAAAAGGCTAAATGTAGCCCTGACTTTTCTACAAGAATGACCATCAATAATGTATCATATTAGATTAACCACCTTACAAAAAATATAAATTACATGTACTAGGTTTGTCTCCTTTTGAGGATCATTTTTTCCTTCTGCAAATCCTGGTGTCAAGCCTAACGTTCACATTCGGTTACTATGTCCACAAACAATTGAGTCTCCTAAAACCTTCAAACAGACCTAACAACCATTTCTAAGTTATGTCAATATAACTTTATCATGAATTATCCAATTATAGGCTGGTGGCAATGAACAAGAAACAAATTTCCAATATTGAAATGAAAGACCAAACATTAGCCATAAGATCATGACAAATAGTCAGTTTTGATAGTGCCTCTCCCCCCCCCCCCCCCCCCCCCACCCTAATCTCTGTGGGTCATCTGAAATGACTTGGGGTTAACAATGGCAAACTCTCACTCTGCCTATAGGGTGTTCAGTGATTATCATGCATGTCTAAATGTTGTCTTACTGTTGTGTACCATAATTAAAATACTCCATGCAATTAAAATACCTTGTGCCATGCCACAAACTTGGAATCTGCATAATTTTTGTTATAATAGTTTCATGTATGCCTTTTGTGTTTATTTGTTTACATTGCTTGTTTATTCAGTCCTCAACATGGTAAAAAGTTGTTCTACTTTGCAACACTTACCAGCATCTGTTTGCATTGAAAAAAACCTAGTGAGCTGTCTTGCAAAAAACTTTTTTATTGTAGTGCAAGGGACATCATTCAGCTTTCTAATAATCTCAAGGACACAAAACCTAAAAAACAGAAATCATTGGCAGATTATTAAAACCCCCATCTTGATCTTTTCTCACTAATCTTGTCTTGTTTTCTGGACCTTGGGCTAATACACTACCCTTTGCTAGTAAAGAAGTCAGGGAATGACCACATCACTGTTTCAGATCTATTTTGAACAATTTAGTGCATTTCATGTAGATGTGCTGTGAGAATGAAATAAGATATCAATGGCTGTAATAAATTAGTATGAAAAGTGTGCAAAAATACATGATAAATCATATACAATGTAACTATAGACTTTACACTAACAGTTGTTTACATGCACCTGTCTGAGCTATTCTGTTCTAAAGAACTGTTTCCAACTTTTTTGCAGACTGAATAATCAGTCTTATCCACAACAATGTCCAAAATTTCTTGTGAAACCTGTGAAATAAAAACATAAGTGAAAGTATAATTTCTTGAAACCTGTAGTCATTCTCAGGTAAGTGTTACATCAGTACAAAAAATGCAGTGAGAAGGTTAAAAAATTTATGTCTTAAACAATTTTTAATAACTCTATTTGGGGTTTTCTACTTCAACAAATTTCAAAATTTATAACCAATTCTATTTACTTAAAGTCAGCCAGACTAAACTGAGAGCATCTAGGAATAGACTTGTTAATAGTGACACTAGGACTAACATCACCAGGTATTACCTTTTCAAATGAGCTGTTGGATCCTTCTTTCATTTTGCTTTCAGGAAAGGAAAATGTAAGCAATCGCCCTAAAAGATCTAGTGAGGCAAAGAAAAATGGCAGTTGAGGGAAAGAAGCAGGTTTCATCCATTTTGAACACTAATTAAAAGGTATGAACCATTTAAAATAATGCTTTGAACTTCAAGACTAGTGTTTATTTTTAAAAGGTTGAGTGTACCTGATAAAATATTATCTTGCTTTTCCATGTCCATTTTGTTTAAACAGAGTGCTACAAGTCCATCAGCGACTGCATCGACTGTCTCACTGTACTGCAAACAACTAGTAACAATAATGGAGACGAACATTTACTGAAGGGTAATCTTCACTTTATACTGTAACATCCCCCCTGGTCATTATTTCTCATGAGTCATAAAGTTTCACTGAACTTTCAATAAATATTGTCTAAATTATTTAATGTAACTGGATACTTAATATGTATTTTTTTTATTGTAAAAGAATTGCAAGCAAATTGAGCTGATACATGTATTGCATGCATGTCACTAACTATGCTATAAAAGCTAGACACTTGCTTTTTTCATGAACAATATTCACTCCTTACCAAGCTAAATATGTGTTGAAGGAAACTATGAAGTTTTTATGAAGCATCCAGACAACTTCCAGTGGAATAGTGGGACCCTGAAATAGTGAGAACTTAAGCATGAAGTAATAGCTTATCATGTTCAGAACAAAGCAGCCAGTCTTACCAGCATTCTAAGCCAGACTTAGTTTGAATTACTAATTTTAATACCACAATAATGAACTAAGTAAGTTAATATTCATACATAGCTAAATATAAGTCCTCTCTTTTTTGGGACCCTGATAGTTCAAACCCTCTTTCAAAATGATGAAGGCAAAATGTTAGAATCTAAAAAAACTGATTAATAAACTAAAGTTCATCCATCCAATAACAGTTACAACTGTCATTTTTAACATTAATGATCATTTTTTTTGCTTCGGAACAGTTATACTGTTGGTTATACTGTTTAATTTTTGTACTACATCAAGTTATCAAAACCAAAATACTTTTGAAATTGTAACAAATTCAGTGTTTTATATCTTATAAGACATTTTGGTGTGTAGTATCACTGAATATTTGTTACAAGTTGTGCTGTATTTTGACCAGCCAGTAGGATGAGGCAAAATAGAAACAAGTAAAAATTACCAAGCTACAGCTGACAAAAATGTCTAATAAGTTATCCATTATCCAACTGTTTTTTTTTTCTACCAAGTGTTTCTGGTCATTTCTCATAAGACAAGAAAGCAAAGTGGATAGAGTAATAAACCGTGCATAGCCGACTAGTCAAACAGGTTTTATTTTACAGCACAAAAAAAAAACCAACTATACAATATCGCAGGATATTTGTACTCTATTCCTCCATCATTTGTACTCTTCTTTGTGCAGTTGGATAATAAAATCACATACCAAATAGTAAATACAGTCAGTTAAGTTATACACCTTGGTGGTCAAATGTTTTGTGAAGTACACTCTGTTAAAACACTGTTCAGACAACATGTTCTTTATCAACTCCAAAACAGCCATTACAGATTCCTGAAATGGTAAGAAATTGTGATACAGTTTATCAAAATAAAACTTACAACAATTAATCTAGGAATATTAAGGGTTTTTGTGACAAGTGATCATTTTTCTTCCCATTACTAGCTTCAACCAGTATGTTCTATTTAACAATTAGTTTATAGGCATAAGATTTTTATCACATGATAACAGAAGATATTCCAAGGTTAGAATTACCATCTTACAAATGAATATATATTAATTACCAGTTGTTCCTTTGATAAAAGTTGTTCAGAGGAGCTGCAAACAGCAATAAGTCTTCCACTCAGCCTTTCTGCAGCCAATAATTCTAAAGGACAAGCTGCCTTAGAAGCCTGACATTTTAGCAGATCAAAGCAACTTTTTACTGAAAAACAAGTATAAAAAAAAGCAAGCACAAAAACTATTAATATTAATTGACAATGGTTCTTAAGGTTCTCTTCTACCGTCTGGCAAATAAAGAAATATTTCTTTAAATAGTTCACTGCAACTCAGCTTCCCCCCAAAAGTTCTTCTTTATTTTAAGCCTGACAATTAAGTTAGAGAAATTTACTAAACTGGTATGTAAATAAAGCAAGCTGACAGTCTTGACTAGAAACTTAATCCTTGATCCTTAACCATTTCCAGAAAGGAGAATCAAGAATTGAGTATCAAGATGCTCCCAGAGCTCTGCAAGGATCTTGATTAGCAATTTCCAGAAAGCCACACTACACCATTATACTAAATTCACATTGATTTGATTATCATCCAGCATGTACTTCTAAAATCAGCAAGATCAGCTGTGTTGAGAAATTCCTGGCTATCTATAGTTTGTTTTTTCCTTCACCATATCATTGAATATTTTAATTTCTAAGTAACACAATTTACAATTAACTCACCACTAAGAGAAGAGCACAATTCGAACTTTGGATTTTTATGGTGTGGATCACATTCATCATGATCTTCACTCTGTAAGATACAACCGGACTAAAGGGAATGTTTAATGCAGCCATAAAAGTTATTTTCAAAGAAGCTTTTCAGAATCTTAACAGATCAATGAGACCATTAAAAATATAAATAATTCATCATTCATCACAATTCCCACAATTTCCTTCCTATGAAGTGGACCTTACTTACCAAATAAAGAAAAACAGAATTCTACATTTTCAAGAGCTTCAGTCTCTCACTTTTCCTCCTAAATTGACCCATGATTTTCTTTCAAAATTGAATATTTATATCTGCTACTTTCTTTTCAACATCACAAACACCAACCACATAAAATCTTTAACCTGGATATGTCTTATTCAGGACCACATTGTGCATATGCACCCTACCAGATAAAAAAAATTTGGCTTTTAATTGCCTTGTTCCAGTCTCTTAACACAAACTGATAGAACTAAAAGGAAACACACAATACCAAAATTTTGTTTCAAGCATTAGCCCTTGATGAAGGGCTAGCACTCAAAACATCAGCTTTAAAACTCTTTACTGTGGCCAATTTATGTTATCAACTCAGTTGATAATACTTAATTACCGTGTTATACTCTACCACCAATACAGCACCACACCTTCTTTAGAAAAATTCCCCCTTTGTTCATTAATCTTTTTTTTTTTTTAAATTTGGTTGAGTTAAAATCTAATTGATTTCCTCTTGTGCTGCAAACAATGTCTCAATCCAATTCAAAATGAACAGGAAACCATGGCTGACCTCTCTCAATATGCCCTCGAAACTGAAATTATCATTCACCATTTGTAGAACAGCCTTCTTTAGTTCACCCACAGATCCATCAGTGCTTGCACATTCTTTGATCTGAGTGCTTTCTACGAAAAAAGAACATCTATTCAAAAATAACTTATGGATATTTCATTAAATCATCAATTTACAAAGAGGTGTCTTTTCACTGAAAAAAGAAATAATCAAAATATGCAGACAGTTTGTTTTTAAAGTTATCCTTTGCTTGGCTGAAAAAGGTGCACTCTGACTGTAATTTGCTTCGGGCGGATAACCTTATTATATCCGCCACTAGACTATTACAGCAAGTCCCAAGTGCTCGAAAATCAACACTTCCAAAAAATGATTATCGGTTGAAAGTCTTCCACATTATTTTTGATAAATTTGACGGCAAAGATTTGGTGAATCTCCACATTTCACTCCCCTGGCTAAGATTGCTTGCACTCCAATGCACACTGTAGCTCTTTAGCTTCCAACGCTCACAATAAGTTGCTCAAAATAGAAGTTAACCCTATGACCTGAACAACAACATGAAAAGTTTCCTGATTGAGATTTCAAAATGTTGTAATTTTAAATTTCACACCTATACTTCTTTAATCCTATAAATTCTTTTGTTCGATTGCTTAGCCTCCTAAAACAGTGGTGTGTAATTACGATTATAAAACTCTTGACATGTACTCACCTAACAATCGCTTGAATTTGTGCTGAGCATTCTCCTCAATATTACCGTCTGCATAACTTTCTCTGGAACGTTTAGTTCTGCAATACGACTCAAGTTCCATACTTCATCAAAGCAAAACCTCAACAATACATTATTTTCAGCTGGAAAACACAAAAGAAAGTTTTTCACATTCCAATTGTGCGCCAATTCAACAAAATCGACCAGGCGTCCGCAAATGGCTTTTTAACTTCATGTATGAATACACAAAGTATCTTTATTTTTGCAAGCAGCGCAGCCTGGCCTTAACGACGTCACATAGCTTTCTTTTTACGCGCGCCGTTTGAGCTCTAGAAGATGGCGTCGGTTAGGTCACCCCTCTCGTCGGAGTCCGAAGGGGAGCTTTATGAGGTAAGAGGCCGTTACACGTTATTAATTAACTGACTGGCTTTTCTTTTCAACGGGAGGTTTTCCCCTTTGGAGCTTATTCTGTTTTTTCCTCGGTAAGAGAACGAAGATTACAGTTTTGCCTAAAATCTTCGATCTGCTAGCTGCTTTATCTGATTCGTCCGAATTTACAATGCTTGCTCAATCGGTGGCGATTATTTTTATGTAATGGTATTATTTGTTTAAATGCTTAGACTGGAGCTTTGTAGCGTTTACTTTTAAGTCAATGCGATCCCTGGGTACTATTTGGGCTTGTAGAAAATGATCCTCGATCGAATAAATTTACTCTGCGCTTTCTCTGTCGAATGCACTGGATACTATCAATTACGAAATCGATTAAGTGTTCTTATTATCGTCCTTTATGCAAAATGTTGGAGAACGACCAACGACCTACGACCTACGATGTATTTTAAGAATGATTAAGTTGAAATTCCTTTAGTTTGAATTTTGTTTTTCTCTGTTTCAAGATTGTGGTGGAACATCTTGAAACATGGGGAAGTACACATAAAACTAGATGAAAATATTTTGACCCGAAAGGCATTTTAAAGTACAAAATATACGTCCACACAATGATACATTTGTATTCCAGGTTGAAAAGCTTCTTGGAAAAAGAACTCACAATGGCAAAGTGGAGTATCTCATACGCTGGAAAGGCTGCAGGAAAGAGGACGACTCATGGGAACCAGTGAAGAATTTGAAGGGCTGCCAACCTTTGATTAAACACTTTAACAAAACACGTTCTCCTTCTCCAGGGAGAAAGGCCAAGACACCAAAGGTAAAATTTTTACATGTTTTTGTAATCTTACAGCTGTGTCTTTCTGTTCAAGACTTATGATTACATGATTATTGAGAACTCATGTTGTAAACTTTATTATACAAGTTGAGGGTTTATTGGTGGGGCAGAATTAAAAATATATAACTCATAATACACATTGATTTTGTATTTCTCTCTCTGTCTTTGACAGAAGTCTCAAGTAATACAAAAAGTACAGACAACAACAACACCAAAAGTTGAAGAGTACACTAAACTGAAAACCCCAAGCACTCAATCATCAGATTTTGTGATTCTTCATAGGAAAAAAGGTGGATTCTTTTAACTGCATGAAGCTATTTTAAAGATTTAACAGCCACATATTCCTTGGAAGTACACAAAGTTTGTCCCAATTTTGTTTTAACTTCCTTAGCCTTTGCAAATACTGTACTTGATGGATTCTGAGGTTGATGCTTATTCTAGGGTTGTTATGTACTGTAAGCTTTATTGACTTGATGTTTAAGAATTAAATGCTAAGTGGAGTTGACTAATGCTGGATGTTTTTATAACTGCACATTCTTCCAATTGCTGTTTTTTTCAAAAACTGTCACAATATCAAGCACCCTATAATAAGTTCAGCCTTCTGTTGACTAATGAACAGTTTTCACTCACTCACAGGTTATTTTCTGTGCAATCTAACCATAGATAATTTGAATTAACTGACAGATTACTGAGAATATTTGGAATCAACTGTGTATTATTCAAATGTCATATTTTGTTTTTACTCTTTGCATAAAATGTGCCAGTTCGGTCAAGCTTCGCTGGGAAAGGGTTCATTCAGCCACAGTGAAATGAATCTTCAAACTGTTTTCCTGCTTGGATGTTCCATTTTCTCTTAACTCTTCTGTATTGTGATTAAATGAGGTTAAAATATGCATGCACACTACTTTAATAGAAGTATTCATACATTTTTTTTTTACTTTTTGCATTCATTTGTCGTCAAACTTCTGATTACCCAAACTTTTTTCAATGTCTGTGGAAGGTTTGAGTTATTGAGAATTGACTGAACTTTTTTGAACTCATATGTGGGATATGTTCACTTGACTCACAGGGCCAATAACTTACAAACAAGAAACAAAAGAAGAAAAAGAAGTTGAGATTACTACAAAGACAGACACTGTGGGGGAGATAAAAATTGAGGAAAAGAAACCCATCGCAGAAGAAGAGCCTTCCAAACCTTTACCCGAGGAAAAGACTACTGCAGTAGCAGTCAATGCAAGAAAGGAGGTTTTAAAAGTTTTTGCTGCTTTAGTTGTCTTAACATTTTTCATTCTTATTTTATTCTCATTTTTTCGTGTTGTAGGAGATAAGTAAGTGTTTGCAATTTAGTGCTTTTACACAAAGGTTTTAACTTGATTTTATAATACATTTATATTTGTTTATATTTTGTGGTAGCAGCTTAGGGAGTTATGAATGAGTATTAGCAGGTTATGGATGTGTGGAAGATACTACATTGCCACAGGGATATGGAATCTGTCTCTGCTTTTTTTTTTTTTTTTTTCTTTTTGATGATGTCTCTCACTTTTTAACTTTGCTCATCTTCTCAAGACAAGAAGAGAAATTCAAGAGGATAAATACTGAAACTCAAAGAAATGTGAAAGTTTACTTTTAAGCCCAAAGGGGTTTGTAGGCTTTACTATCAAGTGCACATGTAACAATTTTACTGAGTGCCAAATTGAAGATTCTGCATTGAGAAAATCTTAGACACACCTTTCTTGTAATGCATACAGAGGCTTGCAGCATATGTACTCATGCTTGAATGCTGCAATAAGGTGGTGCATCAGAGCTCTATAGACCATTATTTTCCCAATTACAAGTAGATTTCCTGGAATTTTCAAGTAGCAACACTACAACCCCATAAATATCAGATCAGCAATGCTCCTTACATACATGTAAGGTCATCTGATCTTGTCAACTGTTCACTGCAATGCATAATGTGTTGATGCTTTAAAGAGGAGTTACAGTTTTAGACAGCCTTTTGCCTCTCCACCCCAATACTATTTACAATTTACAGTTTTTTTTTTTTGCTTGGGCAATTTTGTTATTCCACTGAACTCTAAAATTTTTGGAACATTCTCAAGTTTGGTCAGTATTTTAATCTCAAACAAATTCAGATTCTTTTTGACAAACCCAAAGTCTGAAGATTCATTTTCTTAGTTGAAAGTTTTAAAGCCAAGACAGTACCTTAAGACTTGTGCTTCAGAGGTGTGTTAACTAACCAGAGGTATAAATTTTTCAGGAAAAGTCTTTCATTTCAATAATTGATAGTATTTATTTTTTATGTCAATGCATCAGGTGATAATAATTATTTTATGTCTTTCATACATGTTTGTAATGGATACAAACTATGTGTACTTGATAACTGGGAAGTGCTGCCAGTTGAAACAAATACTTGTAGTTACAGCTTTGTACAGTTTTTTTAGTGATAGTTGAAATTCAACACTGTAGAAACGCCAGTTCTAACAAGAGATATTAAAGAAACATTTGAAGAATTGCCAGTTATTGATTACGTGAAGGATGAAGGGAAGAATTGAGGATCTCGGCTAGAGACTATGGATTGTTTTCGTCCTCAGAGCGTTTTTCGGTTTATTGTGGTAAAAACCAAAACTGAGAACAAAGGTAAATGCTATAGTAAAAGTTCATGGTCAGACAAAGGAAAAAGAGCGCGAATCGTTTTGCATCTGATTGGTGTAGAGGGAGGTGTGAGTTTTTTACCGAACTTAGTGAAGCAATAATATCGCGGATGGTTTTGGATACTGTTGAGAAATACTCTGTTGTCTTTTGATGTAGTCGCCATCACAACTTTTTGCCGAGTTAACTTTAGCCTCAATAATATTTACGATATGGTCTGAAACCTCCCTTGTTGTGTTCCAGTCATCTATTGTTCGAGCACGTGAGGCTGAGGAGTCGTATAAAGAGAGACAATTACAAGTATGTAAGGCTTGTCAAATGTGGCTGTAAGGGGAGCAAAGTTAGGTTAGAAGTGGCTTGTTTCAGCCATGCACTGATAACTACAAAGTTACAAGTTTAGTTGCTTTGGTGAGCGAAAGAAACGCTAAGTTTATTACTCACTAGAAGTTGATGAAAGTGAATTGCGTTTCGAACGCAATCATTTCTTCATCAGTTGGAGGGTAACGATGAACGTCTTGGGAAGAATTAGTTAGAAAGCAAACACAGTTTTGTCTTTTGGCTCAACTTGATTCACTTTTTTTAAAAGTTCCTAAGACAGTGCAAAACGACGATTTTTTTTTTCTTTCTTTTCATTGTGTCGTTCGCATAAATTTTATAAGTTGGCAGGGACTTCATTGACCATGCCCAGCATTCCTGACCCAAAACATGGGATCCATGAACAAATTATCTGGGGCGGAAGTTTGTGAAGAAGCTGTGGTGCTGCTTCTGTAGAAGAGTATAACAGGGTAATTTTGTACTCCCATTTGAGTTAAGAGTTTCAAAACTGACGTTTCGGGCGTTAGCCCTTCGTCAGAGCGAATGTTTCGCGATCACGAAGGGCTAACGCTCGAAACGTCAGTTTTGAAACTCTTTATGGTGGCCAATTTACGTTAGCAACTCAGTTGATAATGCTTAATTACCCGAATTACTTTCGAATTGGCTTAAAATACTTGTGCGGTATCGAACAAGCGTAATCAGTAAAGATGGCTGGATATTGGCCATGTTCTTTTTTTTGCGACGAAGTCTTGGTCTTAAAAAACGCGAAAGAGAGCGAGACTAATACCCAGCTATTTTGAATGAACAAGCTTGGTCAATAAAAGATTTATTATATAGCAAAAATATTTCGCTTGATTAGGAATCAAGAATGACTTATTTCGAAAGCCGGGAAAGAAAGCCAAATGTGTTTATAACACAATAAACCCACAAGAGTCGTTTATATTTTCTTTGAGTTTGTCTGTCTTCTTTTTGTCTGCCCCTTTTTGTGACTTCATCGCCGACATTGTCCAAGAAAGTCTGCCCCGAGCAATTTTTCTTTCGCGGGATCAACGCGAGCAACCCGAGCGGTTACTTACTCTGCCTATAGGCGCCGCCAGTTTTTCTTTGACGTCACCGAAATTTAAAAAGGAGGAAGTGACAATCCTTTCGAAATTTTAGCTTAGTTAGTCATAAGAACAACTGAAGACTTATCTTTCACAAATTTTGAGTTTAAGACAAACGTTTCCCAAATTTAAAGACAAATCAAAGGAGAGAGAGGAAACATGTGGCCAGACAAGTGGGCCTAAAAGAAGGTGTGTTTTACAAAAGGATATAAACATATTTAACAAATACAGATGGAGTGATAAAATGGCTCTCGATCCATTTAAAAACATTCTAGGCGTGAGCTCTGTAAACGAGAACAAATGATAAAACATATTGCAGCAAACCTTGATCATTTCAGCCATCTTAGAAAAATACATCCACTAGGCTTGCGTATCTCCCTCGCTCTCCCTTCGTTTGCGTTGGACATGAGAACACTCTTGTGTTCGTATTTCCGTTTGCATTTGAATCGCACGTGTGGACAAGGCTTAAGAGAGTACCACTGACAATTCTAATACTTCGCAAGAGCGCTTTTAGTTAAGAAGAACCTCCTTAAGACCTGTTATGCAATAATGTGAATCGAACTCATCAAGGTTGCTGAATTGACTGCAGACATCGTAAAACCACGTATGTACAAAGAATATGTTAGAATGATATTTTCACAAACCAAATCAAAAGGAAACGTAAGTTTCTGATATAAAAAATAAGTCCTTAACCGCGCTTTTGGCGGCTCACGCCAAATAGTATTTAATCAAGTTGTTATGTAATTCCACTCTTTTAGAGTATAATTAAAGAAAATATAATTTTGACGCCCGTCAGGCCACCAGCGAATACAATCTGACAAATTTGCCAATCGATAAAAAATGTTTTCGTTAAATACATCAACATAGAAAACCTCTAAAACACACTTGTAAGGAAAAACCTCTCACATTTTTCCTTTAAATATTTAACTCCTAACTAGTTGTCACGTAATATACACTCATCGTTTTACTTCAGAAGTTTTTTCGGGACATTACCTCAAGTTCAGCAGTAAGAAAATTAATTTCATTCATGGCTCTTACATCCTTTAATGCCAGTAAAAATTTCTAACTAAAGAGTAAACTGTTCATGCGAGGTAAATTCCCAAAAATAAATGTTTAAATGAGATTGTCATTCTTATTGCCATCATTATGCAATCATCTAGAAAGTTCACAGGGTGCCGGATGTCCATTTATGTGTATTGTCTAGCTGCGCCACTTATCTTATCACGTTTTCTTTTAAGTTGAAGTTATCAATTGCCTAAGTTGAAAACGATGAATAAACCTCTGTGGCGAATTTAGATTATCCGTTTTCTAGAACCTCTAGTAGTCCTTTTAAAATCCAGAAATTTGTCTTTCTTTCATTCTCTTTCTCCAAACTGCTCCAAAGAACGACTGATATTTGCAAACTTCACCACGACGACGGTTCAACTACCTTTATCGACCTCATTTGATAATAAACACGAGATTTTGCACGCTCACACTGCAGTTTGTTTAGAACCAATACCCTCTTTTCCAAGCTAATCTTCAACAACTATTTCAGAAAACCGTGCTGTTTTGAGCACCAAGCTTGCGAAAGTAGCCTTTCTGTCAGATTAACCCGAGACACGTACCCAAACGAATACTCAAATCCTTTCGCGGCGAAAGCGAATATACCAGAAACGATTTCACTCTAATAATAAATTGAGTTAGAGGCAAGATTGCCTTAATTTGGTTTAGCTCTCCAGGGTTTCTTCCATTCCAATCTCTTTGATGCTCGCCCGATCATATAAATTACGGTACACTTGTCATCAAAATGAGCAAATGGTGGCAACTTACGCTACTTTTATGATGATATTGTTTTTTGAATCTCACTTTGAAAGTGTATGAGTAACTTATGAATAAATCTCATATAATAGGAACACTAGTGTCCGAAAACCCCCAATACGCGATGTGTGCGCAAACCTCCTGCCTGCAGTTTTTAATTCAACCAATTACTCTCCAGTAATTACTGTTTATCTCGCAGACAAACATCAGTAATTGGTCTATTCCTTACTAAAAATATTTCATGGCGCACATAGGCAATGTATTCTTTCAACTTGAACGGCAATGTTCAGCTGTATCAGTGTTGCAATATAATTTGGAAACCCTTTTACTGCTCCAGCTGCATGCTTCATGACTTGCCAACTTTCATTTGTAACTTGAGTGCTATGTTTGATAACACTCTCCACCGCAGTCGCTCCCTTCGTAACTTTTTTATTAGCCTCTGTCAGAACGCTTGATTCTATTTGATGTCATTATGTTTGTAACCGCTTATTTTCTCTGTCTTTAATTAGTGCAGACAGTCAAACCATGGAAGCGAAAAATGAGGTCAAATTACAGGCGGCCCAAGCTCCAGCTGTGAGATAATCATCTTCATAGCGAAATTATAAGAGTTTGTTTGGGAATATTTACGACCGCTCTTAGGAATAAAAAAAAATACATCAAATTCTCAATAAAAATACCTCCCTTTACTTCCACAGTGCATTGCTTATTGTCTGACCGCTTACTATGTTGAAAAGAACTTATTTTAGCGAGTTATTCATTTCTACGTTTACTACATAAGAGCTGAAGCCCTCTTATGTGGTAAACCTGAGCGGTCAGACAACAAGCAATGTGCTGTGAAAGTAAAGTGAGGTACTTTTGTTGAGAATTTGACTGTATTTTTTTATTGCTAAGAGCGGTCGTAAATATTCCCATTCAAACTCTTGTAATTTCGCCATGAAGATAATCATTTCTCAGCTGGAGCTTGGGTCTACTGTGGTCAAAAACAAGTTTTTATTGTGTATTACAAATTCTTCGTTAGCACAGGATTAACTTTATATAATTGAAAAAGCAACATCTATTAGGCTTCCTTTTTTTTAAGAGTTTTATTATATTGCTGTTTCAGATTTTACATGTTTTGGGCTCACCCTCAGAGAATACAGCTTTACCCTGAGCATTGTATGTGGTGGCTTGTTCCCAGAGAACATGCAATCAAACAGTCTGACTACTCTTTCAGTTGCACTCTTGTAAGACCAACTGGCACCTAGTCATTTGTGAAGAAACTGTCCGACGTTTTGGACCTTGAAAAGCTGAAGAACAGAGAAAACAATATAAAAAAGGTGGATATCACTACTGCCTTTCACCGCATCAAAGACGTAAAGCCAGATCTAGCTTTAGTCCACTTTCTCTATTTGAAAATAATGATATCTCATAGAATTCATCTATTTGAGTTGGTCAGATAGCTATTGAGTTTTCGAATTCATATTATATCAACACATACTTAAACGAAGAATGTATGTTGTTACAACCCTGATATGTGGCTAAATAACATCGATGTCATCTTGGCTCTCAGTCATTTTAAATTCGAATTCCATGAGTGATAAGTTTACAGTTAGTGTGGGTTAACGTTTTCAGTGCACTATTCGTATTATTCATTCCTCGACAGCGCGAGC